GGGATGTGAGGAGAGGAGGGGCAGATCCCAGGAGAAGCCGAAGCCAGCAGCACGGCCTTGCCACAGAGGCACAGAAAATCCTGGAAGCTCATGCCAGTTCTTTCTGGAGGGAACTGGGGTTCAGGAGCCCCATCTGTGCCTTTTAAACTTGGAGCTGCAGGCAGGTGTTACCGATTCAAAAACAGGAAAGGCCTAAAAAATAAATCAAGGCAGAAGTTCTGATAGGAGAGGGTGGTGTGGGTCTGCCTGGCAGAACGTGCAGGAGAGCAGCCTGCGGCCCCCGCCCGTGGGCAGGAGCTCAGGTCCAGGGTGAGCACCACCATGTGGGGGTTTGCAGGGCGCTCCCCCGAGATGCGGGGATGGAATGCTAGCGTGCGCCTAGTTTCACCTGACCGTGGCAAAGCTCGGTGTTAGTTAGGAAGCCGTGTGGCGCTGCCTGAGGCACCCACACCGTTGGGGTGGAGGTCAGAGGGCGGCTGAGAGGAGGGACCTTCGGCGAGTTATTCACCCTGAGCCACGGGCTCCTATGTGGAGAGGGAGGTGGTACCCACGAGCAGGGTTTTGTGAGAATCTGGGGAGAGCTACAGTGACCCTGGCCCAGGCTGGGCTGACACAGCACCTGCTGCCACTGGGGTGGTATCTGTGGAGATGCTCTGGGCCATTGTGATGTGAGGAGCTGGAGGTCTCTCTTTTTCCCTCCCAGGTAGCCCTGAGGAGGAAGGCGTCTTTCCCACAGCCCTGTCCCAGCCTCTCCGGTCGTTGCTTTTAAAAACAACACCGTGGGGCTGGGCGGTGGCTCACACCTGTAATCCCAGCACTTTGGGAGGCCAGGGTGGGTGGATCATCTGAGCTTAGGAGTTCAAGACCAGCCTGGGCAACATAGTGGAACCCCATCTTTACCAAAAACACAAAAAATTAGCCGGGCATGGTGGTGGGCATCTGTAGTCCTAACTACATGGGAGGCTGAGATGGGAGGATCACTTGAGCCTGGGAGGCAGAGATTTCAGTGACCTGAGATCATGCCACTGTACTCCAGCCTGGCTGACGGAGCGAGACCCTATCCATAAGTAAATAAATAACACTATGGGCTGATCCCAGAGACCCTGAGCTTTCGGCTCTTAGCATTCTTTGGTGGGATTTCCTAGTTAGCACTGAGCTGCTCTTGTGATTTGAGCATTTCTGGACGGGCGTGGAATTGGAGATGCACAGGGTTTGTGCCTTTTCCTTTTGGATCACACGTCTCCTGACGTGAGGCTGAGCTCACAGAGCCGGCCTCGAGGTGCGCTCTCCCCAGCTGATGAGTTGTTTCTGTCCACAGGTGAAGAAGCATCTCCAGGACCTGTCCAGCAGGATCTCCAGAGCTCGGCACAACGAACTCTGAAGGCGTCGGGGAACCCAGCCCGGCAGGGAAGAGGCCAGCGTGAAGGACCTGGGCTCTTGGCCATGGCATTTCCGTGGACAGCCTGCCGTGAGGGTAACTGGGGCCGGCACAGGTGTCGCAGCAGGAAGGATTGTTTCTGGTGACTGCAGCCGCTGCTGTCACGACACAGGACTTGGTGGTGGTCGCGTCTGGGTCTGAGATGGGCCCAGCTCTGACTGAGGGGGTTGTCTTCCACTCAGCGTCAGCGTGGCAGTCACCACCCCAGTGAGGACCTCGATGTCCAGCTGCTGTCGGGTCTGACAGTCTTCTTGTTAAACAACACGATTTACATAAAAAAATCTTACACATCTGCCCCTGGAAATACTATGTACAAAGTCCTTAAAAAATATAGTGCAGTATTTAAACCACATGCTTGTCAGCTGGTCACTAAGTGTCCTGGTGGCTCGGGCCGGAGCCAGTGCTTGTGAAGGGATCGCGTCATAGCCAGCTTCCCCTCTGGGCCCCACGGGCCTTTGCAGCCAGACTCCTTTTCCTGTGAGACGGCCCGGCCTGATTGAAAGCCAAGAGCGCTGGCGTTGAGTTTGAGGGGAAGATGGCAGAGAGAGGAGCCTGTGGTTCCGTGGACAGTCAGAGACTGTGGCCTGGGGGCAGCGTCTTTCAACTCTCACCTCTGCAGCTCAGGGGCCTGGGGAGACCCCAGCGAACCTGCAGGGCCTCCGTGTCCCTAAGTGTGCTGTGTAAATGCCCCATCTCACGGGGGTGGGGACAGCCACGGAGGCCTTCCGCTGACCGTAGCTGATGGGCTGGCCATTGCTCCCGTCCGGGTCCGAGCACGGTTCCCACGTGTGAGCCTGGAGGAGGCTCCATCCGGCATACTATGTTTTGGCTGCAGCTGGATCTTGGCTTGAGTGTTGAGATCTGCCAAACACGAACATCTGCTTAGCGGTCATTTCTAAGAAAGGTCAAGGCTAGAGGCAGCGTGTCGGGAGTTGGCGCATCAGGGTGGGAGGGACCCCAGGGTGCGGCATGTGAGTGCCTGCTCCTGCGTGGACTCCGGGGAGGGTGGCCTTCTGCCTGGCCCGGTGGCGCCGGCCCCAGCAGTGCCCGTGTCTCCCCTCAGCACAGGAGCCTCGCCAGGCCTTCCCACGATGTCCGCCACACTGTCCGTCTCAGGCAGGGCTGAGGTGACTGTCCACTCAGATGTGGCCTCAGGCCCAGAGAAGCACTGTCTGCCAGGATCTCCACGTTGGTCCCATCGGAGCTCTGAGCTCCAGGTCAGGAACCCGTGTGCAGAGCACAGCCCTGGGGCCTTCACAGTCGGGGGCAGGGGTGCAAGGTCTGGGGTGGGGCTGGGCCTAGGACACAGCGAGTAGTGGAGGTCTGTGGCTCGGTTTGCCCTCTTTGGAGTCAGCAGCAGAAGGGACTCCCTCTGCAGGAGAGACAGGTGTGTCCTGAGCTCTGTTACTGCCACCTGCCGAGACAGCACCTGTGACTGTATTTTCTTCTAACTTCCAAATGGTCGTATAAAAAAAACACGTGTTCATAAAAGCGTGTGAAACACACACACAGCTTGGTGAAGTGAGCAGTGCAGGGCCCACAGCCCAGTGAAGTAGACACTGCCAGGGCCCTGGCCGCCGCAGCGCACCCGGCTCGTCGTCCTCTGTTCCCTGGAGCGAAGCGCACTTCTTGACTTGGACACAGTTGGGTTGTGCTGTTTGAACTTCGTAGAAATGAAATGACACTGTGTTTACTTGTGTGTGTGTGTGTGTGTGTGTGTGTGTGTGTGGCTGATGGGGGGCGGGGATTCTGGTTCCTTTTTTCCCGTTATCCTGAGAGCCTTAAGGTATCTGGTTCTTGTACTCAGTGTGTTGGTGAGACTCAGCCCTGTCATCTAGCGGAGGTGTGTTCCTTTTCATTGCTGTATAGTATTCCATTGCATGACGGTCCTGTGCTCTGATTTTAATGCACTTTATTGTGAGGGATATTTGAGTTGCTTCCTTTCTGGGTAAGAACACCCACTTGGAAATAGCTGTGGTGAACACTCGTGTGTGTGGGCGGGGGAAGAACGGCTCTGGGCATACCCAATGGATCTTAACGATGTGTGCTGTCCAAGTATAGAGATGATTCCAAAGTGGTTGGACTGTTTCTTTCTCCCGGCTGGGTGGAAGCAGAACACTAGTGGATTGCTGAGACTTGGTGCTCGGTCTTTTTGATTATGGACAGCCTGGCTGGCGTTTCGTGATGTCTAATTGCGGAGTAGCGTGTCTTATTGTATGATGGGCTCTTTCATACGTGGGAGACCGTGGTGTTGGAGGGAGGCAGTTACACACACAAAAAGCCCAGATGCCCAGTGTTAGTTCCATGGGTGTGGCTGGTCATGGTGCGCACTCACGAAGGACGTAGGTGACGTCCTCCACTCCGCAGAGCCAGTCCCCACAGGGGTGCCCGTTCTGACTCCCACCGCCGCAGCTCCCTGCCTCTCGCCTGCCACGGGTTCCACGTGCGTGGTATTGGGTAGTGTGCGTCTGTGCATGCGTCTGCTTACGTTCACTCAGCATCTGAGATTCACCCAGGCTTTTGTGTGGATCAGTGACCGACTCCTGATTGCTGCGTGGCGGCCTGTTGTGTGGGTGTGTGCAGTGTGTGTAGCCAGTCCCTACTCAGGAGCGTTTGCATTTCCAGTGTGGGTTGCAGTCAAGATCCATTTCTCCCTTACCTTTCAGCATTATTTGCTGCATAGGCTTTTTTCCCCTAATTTGGTGCCTTTGTCAGAAATCAGCTGACCTACCGGTTTGGATCTGTTTCTGTTTGTCCTTACGCTATTGCCATTGCCACACTTTAAACAAGGTCTTGCTCTGGCATTCAGGCTGGAGTGCAGTAGCGCGACCTCAGCTCACTGTACCCTCGACCTCCCACGCTCAAGAAATCCTCCCGCCTCAGTCTCCTGAGTCGCTGGGACCACAAGCGTGCACCACCACGCCCGGCTGATTTTATTTGCTTAATTATTTTTTTTGGCAGAGATGGGGTTTCACTATGTTCCCCAGGCAGATCTTGATCTGGGCTCAAGTGAACCTCCCGTCTCAGCCTCCCAAACTGCTGGGATTACAGGTTGTGGGTGTGAGCCACGGTGCCCGGCCGCCACACTGTCCTGGCTACAGTTGGGTTTGTAATAAACCCTGAATCAAGGTGATGTGCATTTTCCAACTCCTCCTTTTAAAGATTCTCATGGCTGTTTATGTCCTTGGTGTTTCCGTATACATTTTACAATCAGGCTTTCCATTTCTACCAAAAAAGGCAGCCTTCTGGAATTTCAATAGCGATTCCCTTGAAGGCGTTTTTGAAAAGCTTTTCTGAATGTCTTGAATACACGTGGGGAAGAATCGGCATCTTAACCGTCTCCAGTCTCCACATGTTGACTGCCATGTATGACTCCAATCGGCATTTTAACAGTCTCCGGTGTCCACATGTTGACTGCCGTGTGTGACTCCAGTCGGCATCTTAACCGTCTCCAGTCTCCACGCGTTGACTGCCGTGTGTGACTCCAGGCACTGAGTTCATCTTCAACTTCTCCCAACGATGGACCGGAGTCTTCTGTGCATGCATCTGGCACGTTTTCCTTTAGATCTAGTCCTAGGTGTTCGATCTGCTATTGAGGACTGCGTATTTTTATTTCATTTCTCACTTGTGTGTGGTGCTTTAATCCTGTGCCCTAAACTCCCGTCTTGGCCATGGCGTGTTTCTGTGGACTCGCGGGGTTTCCGTGTGCGTGCGTGGCTTTGCTTCCCCTTGGCAGTCTGGGACTCGGCTTCTCACTGCACTGGCGAGGTGGGCTGGCACGTCCTTATCTTACTCCCCATCTCGGTAAACATGGGCTCAGTCTCTCCCAGTTCGGTGTGGCGTTTGCACTGGTGCACTTACAGGCGAAGAGCTTCCTCATTTGCTGAGGGCTTTTCCTGAATCCGTGTTGAGTGTGGTCAGCTGCCTTTGCTGCACCTAGTGAGATATTCATGAGGTCGCTTCCTCACTGCATTACTGTGGCGAGTTACGCTGACTTTCATATGCCAAGACGACCTGGCATTTCCGGGTAAGTCCATGTGGCCGTGGTACACTGGCCTTTTCTCTGCATGGCCGGATGATGGTACACTGGCCTTTTCTCTGCATGGCCGGATGAGATTTGCTCATACCGGGCTGAGGACCTCCTGTGTGTGAATGCTCATGAAGGACACTGGGCTCTTGTTATGTGATGTGTCTGTCATGGTTTGGTACTGCATTAAGTTGGCCTCCTGAAACAAGGTCTGCCATAGTTTGTATAGGATTGACATTATTTGTTTCACAGAGATTTGATGGGTGAAGCCATCTATGCCTGCCATTTTCCTTTTGCTTAGGTTTTTCGCTCATCATGAGATCAGGAGATGGAGACCATCCTGGCTAACACTGTGAAACCCCGTC